ACACACACACACACACACACACACAACGAAATTTCATGGTAATGTCTCCAGATGTTCTCTCGTGTGTGCATACGCAAGCAACCTATCCAAATGTCAACACCGAGGATCGTTACATCTATATCTGTGCTATAATGTACATGTGCTGTTGGTAATTAACGTAAAGTCCATTGTATCCAAGTTTCATGTTGCATTAATCAGCTTTGCTTCTGCGCACAACACTCGCAGCCACTGCGCGCCGGTGAAAATATCACGGATAAACGGATCAATTGCAAGCAAAGGCTTTTTAGGCTTCTTAATAATGCAACTGCAATGCTCGGGAACGCCAAGTATAAATGATGATAAAGAATTCATCGGCGAGGAAGCTAAAATATTTACGCAGTAGAAAGTCTTGTCTTTGGACTGGACGTAAATGAACGTATAAAACTCTCTATTCTCTGAAATTCATGGAGTAATCTCTATAAATCTCATGTATTTTAACTCTCCAAGATTGTCCGTAATTGATTGCACAATCTGAGAATAACTTTCGCAGACAAGTAGAGTCAGTCGGTACACGGTCACTACCTGGTACTACAGAATTCTGCAAAACAGCTACTCCTTTTCCAAAGCTGTTGCTACGATTACAGCTCGCGAGGAATTCCACTTCTAAACCAGCGTTATTCCACAGGATAAAGAATAAGTAGAATGATCGAATGTATGATCGGACGCCGTTACCGTGCAATCCTGTAAAACAGCCTACTCCTTATCCAAAGTTGCCTCTATAGTTCGAAGTCACGAGACATTCTATTTCGAAACCTGTGTTCCGTACGCGCAGAATTAAGAGGGAAATATGCAGAATGACGGAAACGGACGGTGCCTATTATTGAATAAGGTAAAAGGCGATCGTCACGTGAGCCTCGTGTTACGAAGTCGTCGGTCCCGATGTCGTAAAAAATTACTTGGCAAACAAATAAAGGGTGCAACGCATCGCGTGACAGCTGTCGCGGATATGCCGCTCGGAAATAAAGTTTTTTTTACGTGAACCCGCCGAGATAAGGATCGTAAACGCGCGTGGTCTGCCAACGCGGGTCTCAAACGTTCCACTGACGTAATGACTGACATTTGAACTTCCACCTTTGACCGATATCACCCTCGCGACATCCAATATCACCTTCGCAAGACTCGCGCGACGTTACGTAACTGACGCGTCCATTTACAGGGCGTTTACAGGGTTCGAGTTCGTTGCACCGCGTTAATTTTATCGTTTCGAGGATTGCGACGTTAGCATTGGAATCATAATTCATCGTTAATTGACAAGACAGATTGAATTAGAATTCCGAAAGACGGCGCTGGGACCATAGAAATTGTCGTTCGTTCGTAAAACGTGGAGATAACTCATTGAGGAACGAAGTTTGCGTCAATAACGATAATTCTCGAATCAATCGGATCGAAATTTTGAAACACCGCGAACACGATATACTCAGTTAAATTTAAATTTCCGTTTCAACACCGAACATTTTATTGATAAACTCGTCGAACAACATCTCGATATGTCTCTCTCTCTCTCTCTTGACTCGAGTGAAAATTTCCCAAGACGTGCACGTCAGCGAACAGAGGACAATGGCCGGCTGTGTTTAGATGGCGCGATCGTGCAAAATCAGTGGAGAAACACGAGATCTCGCGGGACGGCGAGGGACAACGGGGGCAATCCTTAATCGGTGCAATTCCAGATCTCTCGTCGGACAAGAGCGTTTAGGCTCGGCGGCCTCCGAGTTGTACATATCGCGATGGGAAGAGAGTTAATGCCGTCTAATCCGGAGACAAAGCGAGGCACGTTCGGCCTGGCATTTCCGACGGGGGGTGGTCGATCGGTCATCCGAAATGCTCGCGTGTAGAGATGGCCGATAATCGCGCGGCCATCGTTCCGGAAGATCGACGCAACCCTAACGCGTGTCGCTGTATATATTCCCTCTTGTTGGATAGAGCGAGACTGAAGGA